GAGTGGAGAAAAGAAGGGAGCCAGTGCAAGTGTATCTGCAAGGCAGGTGCCTCTGGGGAGCTGGAGCTCAGGCCTGCTGGGAAAATCTGAGACGTGCAAAACATGCATCTGGGTGTCACCAGCCTCTGCTCTTAGGTTAAGTGTGCCTGGTACTTCACCTCTTAGAGGGAGAATGCCGAGGACAAAATGCTACCTACAGATGAAGGAAGAGATGTCTCACACCAGGAGTGGCCAGTGGAGTTTATAGGTAACTCAGATGTCACAGAATGGTGACCACACTTGGTTTAGCCACACGCAGTTTTTTAAAAATTGGATTAGTGATCAACATTTGAAAATCAGGGGATTTTACAGAAATGATTCAGGTTTCTGGCTTAAAAAAAAACCAGAAACAGGATCAGGTGTGGTGGTGCATGCACGTAATCCCAGTGACTCTGGAGATGGAGGTAGGCAGATCACAGTCCCAGGCTGGCCTGGGCAGAGCTAGCATGAGACCCTACCTGAAAAAGAAACTAGCAGCAAGAGGGTTGAGGATGGCACAGTGCTTGTCTAGCAATCCAGTACCACAAAAAAAAAAAAAAAGGAAGGAAGGAAGGAAGGAGGATCTGGCAAAACTGGGCTGAATTTCTGCCTGGTGACATCGGTTGTTCCTTTATGTGGCTTGCATGGTCTCTGGCTCCTTGCCGTCCCCACAGGGCTTTAGTCACTGTCTCCCTGGCTGTGCTCCAGCTTCTGCAGACATTTGAACTTGTGCTCTCTCAGACCTGAACAAAGGAGCCTGCACTGTGTCTTGGTTGTCTTGGTCTAAGGTAAACTAACAACCTTTTAAAGAGCCTTGCGGCTGAAACTTAGAGGGCTTTGAAGGCTTCCAGTGGCTTCCCTGAGTTCTGTTCAGACTCTCCCTCATTCTGGGGTTGTCCCCCACCCCCAATTCCTTCTTTCAACCTCCAAAGGGAAATCATCCTTCATTTTAACAAAATAAAATAGAAACCAGCAAAGCCACCCAGGTGAGCAAGGAGCATGGGGGCCTTTGCTCCCCATCGCTGCCACAATGATGAAGTGAAATTCAGCATTGGGCCAGGGTTCTGGGAGATTGGGCCCAGCTGGGAATCCACCCGGGCTGCAGTCACTCACTTGGGCTCCTTTGCCTGTGATCCTGTGTGGGACAGTACTGCCACACCACACAAGTCCAGGAGCCAACATGGCATGATGTCCTCTGAGTGTGGCACGTGTTGGGGTCGGACAAGAATTAAGTCAGATAGATAAGAAAGTTCTAGCATTCGTCCCAGCCCCTGTGCCTGTGTTGGAGGAAGAGCTCAGAGGACAACAGCCAGTCCATACTCCCCTGAGTGACAGTATCAGCTTCTAGTCATCGAAAGCTTCCTGTGGACAAAACACACACCTCTCTACTTTTATCATCTTTCAGTTGCCCTCCAAAGCCCCTCTACTTCTTACCCTCATTGTAAGAGGAATAAATTGAGGCCTGCACAGTTGTGGAGTCACACGAAAGGTTGGCAGTAACAGTCACTAACGTTTCTTGAGCTCTTCCTGTAGGCAAGGCACTGACGATTGTTTGCTCTTTCCGACAACCCTATTTCATGGATGAGGAAACTGAGGTTAAGTATGTCTCATGCTCAGAATTTAGTTTAGACACACACAGTTTTGTTTAGTTTTTTAAATTGGATTATTGGTCAACATTTGAAAATCAGGGGATTTCACAGAAATGATTCAGGTTTCTGACTTTGTTAAAAACCTGGAAGAGGATCAGGTATGACTTAATAAAGCCAAAAGGATCGTAAGACATGAGGATTGATTACTAAAGACGACACTGGGCCTGTGCATCTGAAAACTGTGGAAAGGAAGATGGTTTGCAGGGTTGATGTCACCTGTTCAAATCACGTAAGGGCAGATCCAGACTTTGAACCCAATGGTCTAACTCAGTCTCCTGTCCCTCTGACATACAGCCTCCTCCTAAGGTGCCCTCAGCTAACAGTTTTGGGGTAAGGTGATGTGGCTGCTCTCAGGGTATCCACATGTCACCCCCTCTCCTCTACTCTGCCACCACCTGGGCCCATGGGCATACAGAGGCCTCAAGTGTCCATCCCTACCCTGCTGCATGCTGCCCAAAGGCTGAGGGGTGGTGACTCTGGAATCCCATAGCTTTGTTGGAGCTGCACGTGTATCTGACACCCTCCCCTCCCTTCAGTGGGAGCTGCGCAGCCTGTGCCACCCACAGGCCACTCCTCCTCAACCCAGTTCCACTGTGCACAGGAGAAAACCAAATGTGAAAGAGGTCACCTGGCATCCCACGCTGCAGAGGTGGTCTACACGGACGATCATAAATGCAATATTCCTGCTAACTATGTCCTATCTTTTTCTGAGATGCTGATAGTCACTGTCTCCCAAGTGCCTGTTAATATCCTTTGATCCTCATGACAAGCCCATAGGTAAAAATATTGCCATCATTATTTTTCAAATGAGGAAGGAATGCTTATAAATACTGAATGTATTACTCCCGGAAGCTTAGGAAGCAGCACGGTAAAAAATTTAAATCCAAATATATGTGATTTCTATGTCCAAGTTCTTCTGAACTCTGACCTCTGTACTACAAGGATCCAAGCAGGCACACGCACGAACACATGTGCGAGCGTGTCACACATGTGTGTTGTTTGGGGAATAAAGAAGGGGCCAGACCTGTGAGCAGAGAACAGATGTGACAGATCTCAGTCTTTAGGCCCCCACAGGAATCCCAATTCCTTCCTCTCTGTCACCCCACTCTTTTTCTATCTTAGGTAGAAAACAGCCTGCTTCCTGTAATACACCCAGTCACTGTGTAGGGTTTTCTACACCTGCTTAATGCACTGAAACAAAGGTTCCTTTCCTGGCCACCAACTCCAATCCTAGGAGCTGTCCATAGTCACAGCTACAGAGGCAATGAAGATGACACAAGGACATTCTGAGCCGGCTTGTGAACACTTGAGAGGAACTCTAAGGACAAAGTAGAAACTCTTGAAAGTTGAGTGGATTGGAGGAGGGAGAGGGGTTGGGGGAAGGGAAGCAGGTAGGGGAATGGAGGGATCAGAGACTCAGCAAAGGCTGTCGCATGCACTGGAATGGGAGCTCCCGTTATCTTCCTGAGCCCTTACAGGGACGCTGACTCCACTTTGGATGTGATATTGCCATAGCTCTGAACTCTGCCTGTTCATTATTTTATTTGTCTTAAGGATGGCTCTAAGGACACAGTCACTCATTTAAAGACTTATTCCTAAAGTCCATAAGACTGTCTTTTAAAAAATGGTATTAGATATAAGAATCTATAGAAATTCACAGAAGGTCTAAATTTGAATTACTAGTATTGTGCAATGTCAAATTCCACAATGTTTTATTCTTTGAGGATGGTTATATAAGATGTCATTATTGAGGATGCTGGGTGAAGGAAGGATGAGAATTTTGTACAATTCTGGCAATTTCTTGTGAGTCTTAAACTATTTCCAAATAAAAAGTTATCAATTGAGTGGGTATGGTGGTGCATACCTGTAATCCAAGCTAATTGAAAGGCAGAGACAGGAGGGTCTCAAGTTTGAGGCCAGCCCATGCAAAGTTAGCAAGACCCTATCTCAAAAACAAAAACAAAAAAACAAGCTAACAAAAAGTTGTAAATAGAAAGGCTAAAATCTACTAGTGTTGCTTTCCTTAAAAACTGGCCTGTAACTTCTCTGACAGGGATAACTGAGTCACAGAATCAACCTAAACCTTCCCATGTACTTTGGCTTCCAAAACTCTCAGAATCAAATGTCAGATCCATTCTAGAAATGCCTCAGCGCGAGGGCCTGTCTACTTATCCTCCTCCAGTCATTGACTTTGCACTTACATTGACTTCCACCTTCTTTCGCTTTGTCATTGTTCCATCATATATATGTCGTGTGAGAGGCTTTTTATCCTTTCTGGAAAGAAATCACATATAAACTCAAAAACCACAAAATAATTAGCTGACTTGTGAGATGTCCATGGGTTTCTGTAATTATCTAGAACCTCTCATTTCATTGCCTTAAAGCACTTACCTAGGACCAGCGGTCCCCTCTGCAGTACTAGGGATCAAACTCAAGGCCTTGCACTTACTAGGCAAGTGTGCCACCACTTGAGCCATGTCCCCAGTGTCCCCTCTCTCCAGGACTTTTTCCCCAAGAGTCCCACGGCCTTCCTGTGCACTGCAGGCTTCAGCTCTGATGAGCATGTGACAGCAGAGGGCCCCTTGGCCAGAGAAGCACTGCAGTGGACACACGTCTGTCCCTCGGTGGTGGACCTACTCAGACTCCCCACTGATAATGCCAAGTGCACCCTACTCACCTGGAGGGGCCCCTCTGTGGGCAGCGCCAGTCACCCTGCCTGTGTATGCAGCCAGGGACCAACTAGGCAGGGCTCTGCAGATAGAACTCCCAGCCCTAACCATGTACCAGTGATGTGACTTTGACAAGTCTCACCTCCTCTCTGAGCCTCAGTTTCCCCACCTGTAAAACGAGGCTAAGAGAGCCCAATGCTGAGATTTATTATAGGATAAGTGTACAGGAACATCGTACAAAGGACTACGCCTTGTCTGCAAGTTGTCTATACCACAAATGTTTGACGCTTGTCCCTCCCTTAGTGACAATAACAATGAGCTAACATTTATGGCAGGCTGAGTGCTGTGCTTGGTTGTAGGAATACAAAAATAAGGAGAATAGTGTCCCTTCCCTTGAACGATGGCCACAGAACCTTAATGTCGTGCTCCATCCCATTTTAGCCTCACCCCAGCCCTGTGAGGTTGATGACACATTCTCAGTACTGCTGAGAATGGTACTGACGCCCCTGGACTGCCCTGCGGGGGATGAGGATTAAACACAGCCAGAGCTCTTGGGATCTCGATCTGAGAGCAGGCACTCCTGCAGGGGGGGTTGGGGTCTCTTTAATGGCAATTTTAAACAAAGCCAGGGAGAGCTGCTGGGCTGGGAGGGGCCCATGACGAGGGGCTTAGCAGAGGTGGGGCATTTCTTATAGTGTCCTGGCTCTCTGTCCCTACAGGTGTCTGCAGCAGCAGCCTGAGGACAGCCTGCCAACAGCCAGTGTCATCCTGTGTTTCCATGATGAGGCCTGGTCCACCCTGCTGAGAACTGTACATAGCATCCTAGACACAGCGCCCAGGGCCTTGCTGAAGGAACTCATCCTTGTGGATGACTTTAGCCAGCAAGGTAGATGTGGGTTTGCCCCAAGCTCCTGGGGGAATGGGGCAACATCTCCAGGGAGATCCCATGCAAAAGATGGGGGATGGAACCCACTAGAGACAAGGTTCCCATGGTGCACGGACTCAAGTGTAAGTCACTCCCCAGGAGAGGCCAGGAAGGCAGTGGGGGAAGCAAGGCAGAGGAGGAGAAGCTTAGCAAGGAGAGAGCCCCAGGAGGGTGTCTTCAGTCTGTCCCATGGGCCTTTCTCAGGCCCCAACCTCCACCCATTCCCAAGACCCTCTGCAGAGTCACAGAGGGTGACCATTGTGGGGGGCTCACTGCCTGCCAGACCCTGGGCAGAGCCCTTTATAATTCATCATTGTTTAGGTCAACCTGCCTACTGTCCCGATGAGGAAACCAAGGCCCCAAGTAGAGACATAGCCAGAGCTGACTCAAGACAAGTGGGGCAGAGTAGGGTCCAGAGCCTATAAAGGGCGGATTTCATCCAAAGGCTTCCTCTGTCAGGAAACTCTGCACTGGAAGAAGATAGAGACAGACAAGCCCCTTGCCTGACTTCCAAGTTCGTGGTTCTCAAACTTTGGCTGCCTGAGAACCATCTGGTGGTTTGTTGAGACTCATCAGAGTTTCTGGATCTGGGGTTGAGCCCAGGAGTTTGCACCTCTAACCAGCAGCTACGCTGGCACTGATACTTTCAGCGCACGGACCGCACTTTGAGAACCGCTGCTCTCTTCTTTGGCTTGAGACCTGTGCCCTCCATTTTTGGCTCAAATAAATGACCAACAGAGGCCTCTTCTGGCTTCCTGGGAAGATGGGGCTTCTCAGAGGGAAGCCGAGAACAGTGAGGGGAGTGGCAGGTGACAAGACAGAGGGACCAGGGCCTCTGATAGTCCTTTCTAAGATTCTCCAGTCAGGATCTGGGCATGTGTGGGGCACCTGGCTGGGTATTAGGCAGGGCCCCAGACTGGGCTGGGTTGGGCCAGTAAAAATGACCTGGAACTCTCTGAGCCCTTGGCTGGGGCAGGGTCCTCCTGAGAGAATGCCTGTGGTCCCTCCCTGCTGGCTGAGGAGCTGAGTCATGTCGCTGTTCCTTGGGAGTGTGGGAAGTGGAGGAGCTAGTTCCCTGGGGGGAGTGGGTCCTCCAGAGGGCACTGGAGTCCAGCAGCTAAGTTGTGGCCTCCTTGTCACCTGTCCCTCTTTCCTCAGCACTAGGCCAGTGCTTTGTCCACAGGTCCCACATTTCCTGTTGACACTGAGGTACAAGGACTTTCCCACAACCAGGGCTGGGCTCCATTTGTCCCTAGGTCACTCTGGGTCTTCATGTGGAAACCCAGAGCTCAGACAAGACCACCAGGCACACCATTCCCCCCTACTTCCCACAGCCATCCTGCGCACGGAGTTCACAGCCTCACTTTTCACATAAGGAAAACAGACACACGGCACTGCTGCAAGTTTTCTAGAACCACCGAAGTGTCGTCAAGCTGACAACCATGCAACATAGCAACGACTGCCTAGATGCCCTGTTGATCCCCTGTGGTAATCTCTAACTGCGTCACAAAATCAGAAAATGCTGCAGGATGTGCCCGGTCCAGGAGAGGCCCCTGCAAGTGGATTTCATTGCCTTTGCTGTTTCTGGGAGGAATGGGTCAAAAACCACACCTGCTCCTTCTGAGCAGGGCCCACCACCCAGTCCTTAACTGCTTGAAAAATCCAACATCAAATTACCATTGCAGCCTGCGAGTTCTTCCTCAGTGCCTCTGCAGCATTCTTTTTAATTTTCATTCTAAATATCCTCAACTAAAGAGGTCAGCAGTCACTGATTTTACTCAGGCACCGTGAGTAACATTTAGTGAGGACATTAGGGAGAGAGCATGTCTGGCTACTTGGAACATAGGCATACATCACCAACCAGTAGAGGTTTACTTTTTTCTGCAGTATAGGAAGACCACAGGTTGGTCTGAACTGGTATGGAAGTCCCACAATGACACCAGAGCCCCCAGTTCCTTCTGCTCAGACTATGATTTGGGCCTCATCATCACAATGAGGCTGCACTACTCCTGGGGATCACATGCATATTCCTGAAGGAAAAGGAGAAAAAGCAGATAGACCTTTTAGGTGGAAGAAATCAGTTAAAGCAATAGCTTCCCAGAATCTGCTCAGTTATTATATTTCTACCCTGCCCGTAACCAGGAAGTCTTGAGAGGTGAGTGCTTTGAGCTACCCTGCAACAAGAGCCACGTTCTGTCAGGAAGATAAGAAGAGAGGCTGGGGAAGAAACTAGCAGTGTTTGATACAGAGGAGCGACCATGAGGCTGGTTCTCATGTGCAAATTCAGAAATGCTAATAGCTCGATGATCAGAGCTCCTCACTAGGGAGTGGACCAGAGCTAACAAAGAAGTAGGAAAACAGCACATCTTACACTGTGAAAGGCAACAGCAAGAGCCTGGCAATCCCGGGTCCTAGCTTGGGATATTGATCCCCCTGCAGAAATCTGTGATGCTCAGAATGCTTGTTGGAGAGGGAGTGCAGGGAGTCTGTTGGGGGCTCTTGGGAAGGCTGTCTAACCATTCCCCGCCTCCCGAAGCAACTGGCTAAGTGCCCCACCGTCAAGGTGGCTTCTGGCCCTGTCCTAGGTGTTGGAGCAGCAGAGACACATAGGGTACAATTCCTGCCCATGGGGAGGCCTTCGTCCAGGGGGCTGGGGCTCCCCACTGCCCATGTTCACAGAGGCCACTGCTTCTTGTGAACACGTTAGTCCTTCCACCTCTACTAGCTCATTCCTCTTGGCATGCAAGTGTCCCCTGCCCTTACCCATGTGTACATGTGTGCACACACCAGCACATGCACACACACACACATCAAGTTTTTCTTACCTTAACCCAACAAGCATCTCTCATCCTTCCCGTCTTCTCCTCGAGGCTGTTTGTCTCCCTCCCCCATTGAGCCATCCTCCCTAAGTCCTGTCTGGACTTTTTAGCCAAGCTCTTGCTTTGCAGACTGAAGTCACTATGATGAGACCTCTTCAGCCAGCACCCTGATGACCTACAGATGCCAAATGTCATGCCCCTCTGTCCTTAACTTCCTTGACCCCTGACTGAGGTTCTCTCGAAGCAGGCAGCGTGATTTTTTTTTTTTTCATTTAGAGAGCATTAGCACTTCTCTCCTGTCCGGGATTTACACACCACCCTTCTCGGTTGCTAGCGGAGAGAATGGTGAGTCATCCCAAACTAAGGGAGCTTCTGACATCTTAGCAATGACCACGCTGTAACAATGCAGTTGAGTCCCAGGAGCCTGGCGCTCACCATGCCTTCTGAGACAAGGGCTGACGGTGATCTTGACAATGGCACCTGTGACCACACTGACCAGAGCTGTGTCATTTCTAGGGCAACTCAAGTCTGCTCTCAGCGAATATGTGGCCAGGCTGGAAGGGGTGAAGTTGCTGAGGAACAGCAACAGGCTGGGAGCCATCAGAGCCCGGATGCTGGGGGCCGCCAGGGCCACGGGGGACGTGCTGGTCTTCATGGATGCCCACTGTGAGTGCCACCCTGGCTGGCTGGAGCCCCTCCTCAGCAGAATAGCTGGTGACAGGTAACTCATCCCTTCATCCTCATGGTCTGCAGAGCAAGGGATGGTTCTGGAGAAAGAACCTGCACACTTGACCACTCACAGAACAGAACACAGATCCACCTTTTGAAAAAGAGCTGGGGTCTCTACCTTTAGGAAGTGGTTGGCTTCTTGGGACTTTTCGGATGTTTAAGCCTAGGTAGTTAAAGTTGGGAGGGAGCTAGAAGTCTTCCAGGGCTGGAGAACAAGCTTCTGTTAAGTCACAAATACCTAAAATCCCATTAAACTGCAAGGCCAGGGCAAAACATACCATTTGTATCATTAACCCCTCTCCCCTTTTTGGCAGGCCTGGAAATTGAACTCAAGGCCTCACTACCACCTGAACCATGCTCCCAGCTCTTTATGTACTTTTTCCCTGGGTTGAGCTCAGACTGCAATCCTCCTATGTCTGTTTCCCAGGACAGGCAGGCACCACCATGCCTGGTCCTTAACCTTGACTCTTGTCAGCAATTTTAGTCAGGATTGTAATATAACCTGGGAAGGGTGCATTTCTGAACTAACCCTGGCCATAGATTACTCAGTCATAAAACAAAAGAATTAGATTCTGTGATTGCTAACATTTCACTGGGAACTAGCATTCTTTGCTTCTCTGGCTTATAGAAAAGGTCTCTGATTTTCTAATTAAGGCTAGCCCTGAAAAGGTGAGGTTAGAGAACCTTGTATTTCACACTCCACAACTTACAATTCTAAGAGCTTTCATTAAATAGGTGGAGTGGAATGGTGAGTGACCTGAGAGATAAGCCTAGTTATCAGCCTTGGTCTCCTGATCATAACCATGGAGCTATCCTACCAACATGGCAACTTTGAATTATTTGTTTTTCATGACCCTTTACACCCATTCCTCAGAAATTTTGTCGTAATATATTAATTTTGCTAGACTAAGATATTTTAATGCCAACAGCCAAAAATTGTAAAAATTAAATGTACAAATTTATAGTATCTGTAATATTAGAAGTGTTCCTAGGGTTGAGCAGTACACAACCCCTACAACTGGACAACACAACCCTAGACAAAGAGCAATTGGTTTTAGTGCTGATGGACAGCCAGTTTCTACATAATGTGGCCATGAAAAATCAAGGGTATTTGTCATATCCAGTTCCCAACTGCCCAATGCTGTCAGCCACCCAAGCCAAGGGGGAGATGTCACCCCCAGAGAAGTGGAGGTCTCTAGAAACAGACAGTCTTTAGGAAGCACTGGGGAGAAGAGTGCAGCAGGGAACGGAGCCCTTCCTGCCTCTCAGCCCTTCAAGGGCTTGCATGATGGAAGGCAGTCAGAGAAGTCCCTGTATGTGTGGCTGAGAGTGAGGACAGGAGTGCACGCCTGTGCGCATGTCCGTGTGTGTGAGCGTGTGTGCACGTGTCCATGTGTGTTGTGTGAGTGTGTGCGAGTACAGGAGCGTATGTCTGCATGTGTGCACAAAGGAACACAAGGGGGATCTGATGCCCAAGCAAACCCTCTAGACCTCATCTCCTTCACAACGCTTAGCATGACAAGTCCTCAGTCTGTCCCTGGAAGAGCCCGCACCAATCTTGGGTCGTTCCTGAGCAAGATCTCTGGGAAGAGAAAGTTCAGAGCCTTCCTCTTCTCAAACACCCAGAGAAGCACGAACCCTCACATTCATGCACGGCAGGCCTGGAGGAACATCTAGGCCCAGGAAAGATGAAGACACGAACTCAAATAGGGCCATTTTTTTTTTTTTTTGGTGATACTGGGGTTTGAACTCAGGGCTTTGCACTTGTTAGGCAGGTGCTCTATCTCTTAAGCCATGCCTCCAGTCCTTTTTTGCTTTAGTTATTTGCAGATAGGATCTTGCTTTCTGTGTAGCCAACTGCGACAGAGATCCACCAGCTGGGATTACAGGTGCATACCACCACTCCTGACTTGTTTATTGACATGAGGGGGGGTGTCTTGATAACTTTTTCCCCAGGCAGACCTGGAACTGTGATCTTCTCCCAATATCCTCCTTTTGAGTAGCTGGGGTTATAGGCATGAGCCACCATGCCCACTCCAAAGCCATTCTTTATTGTAGTGAAAGTTTTTGTTGGGAAGGTTGAAAAACCAGTCAGCTTTTGAATATCTGGGCAGTAGTGCATTAGTTAACCCCCTGTGCTTCAGTTAACCAGTCTTTTTTGATAGCTTGATAGCCTCTCTTTGTCACTCAAAACCTATGCACTTGAATTTCTGGAGTCTAGAAAGTCTTCGCAGAGGACCAGCCTTGTGCCTGCCTGGAGTCCACACTCGTTCACAGGAGAGATTGATGCAGTGTGCAGACATAGCCAGCTCTTCAGTCAAACGGGTTTGCTTTGCTCTTTTGCTCTAAGTGAGTTCCAGGAACACCAGACACCTCTGTAGTACAAAAACAAAGCTAAAAATAACTCCATAGAGGTTTGTTTTAATTAATCTCCCTTCCTGAGTCCCTAGCCTGCAGTTACTCACTAATTCATTCCTGACTAAGCTGCCCCAATTGTCCATGGGAATAAAAACCAAAATGGAAAATTGTCTCTCACATCATTCATTGACATATGGTTCTTCATCTTTTTCCAAAATACACTACAGAAGACCCCTGGCTAATCTGTACGAACCCATTCAAAGTAGAGGGAAGGAGATTTCGGAAAAAGAAAAGAGGGCCTTGGGCATCAAAGGAAACATGGTTATTAGAAGTGAGTTTCCCATACGTGACTGTGAGCTCCCAGAAATACAGAGCAAAAAAAGAAATGCAGTGAGTGTCGGAGTTCTCATTTACTGATAAAAAGTCCTACCTTTTCAAGAAGCAGCAGCTTTGCTCAAACTCCTGTTGTTCAAGACTGCTCTCCACTGTGACTGGGTCTACAAGTCATGTCAAATAGATGATTTATTGGTTTTAAAATTTCACATCAGAAGAAAACGGATATTTTATGCATATATATATATATATATATATATATCTTCATTTCGTCTAATATCTGCAGTTTAAAGTCTCAGAATACAGATTATGGTCCCCAGAAGTAGGTACCCAGGACAAAGGCCTAGAATAAATTGATTGTGTGAATGCTTGCATACCATGTCCCTTCTTGTCCTGCTGATTACTGAAGATGACATGATTTGGTGCAATTTGAAATTCAGCCACGCAGCTTCCTTGGCTCTTGATTCTGAAATTCCACAGAAATGCTTTGGGAATAGCCTGGTGCTTCCCCCCTGCCCAAATCACTCCACAAGACGTGGAGACTTGGGGGTGGGGGGCTGGGTGCCCTCCTTTCTTCCTTGTTCTTGCTTCACAGTTTTCTTAGGGGAATGCGGGGCATCCCCAAATAGTTGAGGACTAGAGAAATTAACTTGCCTCTGCCTTCCAGTGGGCAATGGGTAAACAGCAAGACAGGCCTATTGGGTCTTTTGTCTAGCTTCAGATCCCGTGATGCCCCCACCAACACCACTCTCTGTGGGCCACGGGGAAAGCAAGTCACTGAATCCTGGGGTTCGCACATGTAGGGTGGCTTGCCGTGCCTTGACCCATTCACAATGGATAGAACACAGTGGTTGGCATGCCTTTTTCCAGGAATCTCACTTCTCTCAGAGGAGTACCTCCAGCCCCCCTGAATTCAGGCCACATTCATCCCATGGGACTAGGTTTAGAAGGATTTGTTGTGAGGGACCAGAATAAAAGTGGGATTAAGAGATTGGGTGGCTGGAGACCAGCTCCTGGCACACCTGAGTGGCCATCTGATTCATTAAAAGGTGGTTTCAAACTGTACCATTTTCCCACATGGCTCTCTCTGAGATCAAACTGCTAGGTTGTGGGAAAAAGAAAAGAATAAAATACAACAGTAGGAAATGAGCAAATAAACCCAGATTCAGGATCCTGGTCTGCTCATAGACTCTGTGTGCTTAACACCAGGGATACTTTGAACACTGGGCAATCCTGATTTTGCCAGCCAATCAAGTTTTATGATAACAGAGGGAAACAAGAACCAGACCCTAGAGCTAGTCCTTGACCTTCTGACATTGCACACTACACACAACATTTTGTGTGTGGGCACATAAGGACTTTTCTCAGGAAGGCCTATAGTTTCCTCTGGTTCCCAAAGATATTGAAAACCCCAAAAATATCTAAGAACACTGGTCCTACAGCATTTCAGCTGAGAACGACCTTTGTGGGAAGCTGTTATACTTCCCACATTACAAATGAGGAAACTGAGGTCCCAGAGAGTGTAGCAGCTATCTTAAGGCCACACAGTGTGTTGGAGCAAAGCTGTGCCTAGAACCCTATTCTGCTGCCTCTTGATGCTGTCAAAAGAAATTTTTAAAGAAAGGGGTATGAGATTTTAATGGAATGGGCCCCGGTTCCATATGGAGAAACATATTTTCAAGAACAGTGCTACATGACAGAAATGTAACGTGAACCACATGTATAGTTAAAAATATTTAATACGCTGGACACTGGTGGCTCATGCTTGTAACCCTACCTACTTGAGAAACTGAGATTGGGAGGATCACAGTTAGAGGTGAGCCTGTGCAAAAATTTAGCAAGACCCCATCTCAATGGGGGAAAAAGCTGGGCATAGTAGTACAAGCTTGTGAGCCCAGCAATGACAGGAAGCATAAAACAGAAGGGTCAGGGTCCAGGCTGACCAGGGCAGGAAGCAAGACCCTATCTCCAAAATAACTGAAGCAAAAAAAAAAAAAAAAAAAAAAAAAGAAGGACCAGATGCTTGGCTCAAGCAATAGAGCCTAGCAAGCACAAAGCCCTGATCTCAAACCCCAGTACCACCAAAGAAAAATTTTAATAGTCATATTACAAGATGAAAGCATAAAATTAATTTTAATACTACATTTTGGAAAACCCAATATATCCAAAACATCATTTCAACATAAAATCACTATAAGATAATCAAGATATTCTTTTTTCATACACATCTTCTCCATCCAGTGTGTGTTTTGCACTTAATTTCAACAAAACACATTTCAGGTGCCAAAAGTTAGCAGTGACTGGTGCTGGGGCAGCACCTCTATAGACGTCACTCCCTCCCCAGCAAGTGAATGGTTTAGGTGCCTTGCTTGTACCTCACTTCTTTCCAGGAGCCGCGTGGTGTCTCCAGTCATAGATGTGATTGACTGGAAGACTTCCCAGTATCACCCTGCCAAGGAGCCCCAGCACGGGGTGTTGGACTGGAAGCTGGAGTTCCACTGGGAGCCCTTGCCTGAGAGGGAGAAGAAGGTCCGCCAGTCCTCCATCAGCCCCATCAGGTGAGGCCTGTGACACACCTACCCTTCCTTGGGCTCCACACTTTCCTGGCAACTTACTTAACTTGTGCCTCAGTTTCCTCATCAGTAAATTGATGGTAGTAGTACTCCTACCTGATAATATCGCTTCGAAAACTTAATGAGGCAATACAATAAAAGCGTTCACAGAGTCCCAGGCCCCCAGGCTAGGTGTTATTATCACCGTGATATCAGTGGAGTCCAGCCTGGCCCTTCCACAGCTCCAGGGGACACTGGAGGCAGGTAGAAGCTGAGCTGGACCTGGACTCAGCTCTCACCAGGTGACACTGGAAATTCCTTGGCCTGGAATCCTGCCCTGCAAAAAGGAACAACTCAGTCAGGCAAATGCTACTACACCATGAGTCTCAAAGTATATCGGTTTTATGGGTCGCTTCACCCATGTTTGGTTTTTGGACAATTATTCCATTTCAGTAGACACTCTAGATCTCTTCTGCTGTGTAAGAAACCATGGCAAACTTAGCTGTTTTACTGAACTCAGAGGCTCTGTGGGCCATGAATTCCAAAAGGGCGCAGAGGGGTTGTTTGTCTCTGTGTCACTGCGTCTGCAGCACAGACAGATTCAATAAATTACCCAACACCATAAAACTGAGAGGTAGATCCAGAGGTAACACCAGGACAGCCAGTCTCCTGAGTCCTGCCTCACCACTGGGCCATGCTGTGTGGTAAACGCGAGTCCACAGCCCACTGTTCATGGTTGTAAAATCCAAAGACTTCTGAAAGCCAAGCATTTTTTCCAGGATTCGCTAGGCAGAAAAGGCAGCCCTGAAATGATGTGAGAATCTGCATAGGCCTGACTCATCCCACTTACTGTGAATATTCATACGTTTCACTGAGAAATGAATATTCGTATGTGTGTTTGACTAATGGGTACTGGACCAGACCCAACCAGGGCTGATATGTAGTACATGATGTGTGCCCCTTTAAAAAATCCACAAAATTCTGATTTAAAAACCACCCTGAACCTGGTATGGTGGCTTATACCTGTAATCCTAGCTACTAGAGAGGTGAAGATTGGGAGAATAGCAGTTCGAGTCCAGCCCTGGGAAAGAGTTCACAAGACCCCATCTCACCTTAGCTGGGTATGGTGGTGCATGCCTGTCATCCAAGCCAGGTGGGAGGAATAAATAGGAGGATTGTGGTCCAGAACCCTATGTGAAAAAAATACCTACAGCAAAAATGGCTGCAGGTATGGCTCAAGTGGTAGAGTGCCTGCCTAGCAAATGCAAGGTCCTGAGTTCAAACCCCAGTACCACAAAAAAAAAAAAGAAAGAAAGAAAGAAAAAGAAAACCCACTCTGGCTCCACAGGTTTCAGAGAACAGTGAATTTTCAACATAATAATTTAACAAGCAATTAAAATATGGCAAACAGTGCTATGTTTTTAAATACCCTCAAAACCCAATTATGAAACAGTGTTTTATCTAATCAGAGGTGAGAAAACTGAGTTCAGAGAGTTTACATACCTCACTTAAGATCTTACAGACAGTGGGTGGCGGAGTGAAAATTGTGTCAGGGAATCACTTGTACAACTATTCTGGTTTAACTCAGTATTTTCAATAACCTAAAAGTCAGTGCTTTTGTTAATGGCATACTGTTTCCTTAGCAATTAAAAAAACTGAAACCTGAGTCACTTACGTTTTATGATATATCCAAAGTTTGGCTGTATTAAAATTTGTTTCTGAATGAAAGGATTCTTGTTCAAAACCTTCTGGCTACATCTTTCTCTGGGCAAAGCCCTCTCAAGATATTACTGTCATCCTAGTTCCCTTACGCAGAGTGTCTAGTTTGTTGTGCTAATAAGTTACGTGTGTTTCCCCAGAGCAGGTAAGGGGGCTATCTACTTCCAGCATTCCTAGTGGATTCATCTTAGAATTGGAGAGGGGGTGGATGATCATTAAGCACTCAGGTGACTGAAGGACTGTGAGTTCAAGGCCAGCCTGGGCCATATTGTAAGGCCCTGAAGAAAGAGTGAAAGAAAGAAGGAAGGAAAGAAGGAAGAAAGAGAAAGAAAGAAGGAAGGAAGAGAAAGGAAGAGAGAGTGAAAGAAAGAAAGAAAGAAAAAGAAAGGGAAGAAAGAAAGCAAACAGGGAGGGAAAAACAGAAGATGGTGAGGGGAGAGAAGGGAGGGAAAGAACTTGATTGCATCACTTTGTCCAGGCCTGGAGCTTATTTTGACCAAGGCCTTCTGGTGTCTTATTTTGACCAAGGCCTTCTTCCCAAACCTTTCTCCTGAGACACTCAAGTCAGGGCTTTGGGAGCCTCAGGTGCAGTCCCTGGGTTCTCTCTATAGGAACAGACCTAAGGGCGGAGTGTAAAGGCCCAGGCAAACTTACTCTCTATAAAGTACTTGCATTTTTGACATCGTTGCTTTGCTCTGGTCTTTCAATTAAACATTTTGAGGTGCACTGAGCCCAGAGCCTGCCCTCAGCCACTGGAGCTAGTTCCAGGGGAGCCCCCAGCCCCAGCCTTGCTGTGCCCTGGATCTCAACTGCTGTCTGTCTGTCTTCTGCACAGGAGCCCCGTGGCACCTGGCGAGGTGGTGGCCATGGACAGGCATTACTTCCAAAACACTGGAGCTTACGACCCTCTCATGTCGCTTCAAGGTGGTGAAAACCTCGAACTGTCTTTCAAGGTATGTCCTGCACCAAGAGAGGATGGACACAGGTGGGGTCTCACAGCTCGGTGAGAGCTATCAGAAATGCCATGGGTCAGGGATGAGTCTGTGGGCAAATTATAAAGTCATTGCAACGAGGCCACCAAACCTCCAATTTCTGCACATTCTCATCTCTCTTGCTACCCACTTGGTTTTACTCAGCCTCCCTGGTGAACTTGACTTTTTTCCTGCCCTCAGGAAAGGCTTTCTGACAGTCATTCACAGCCCATGAAGAGATTCCAGAGATTCTTGTAAATTCTCTGTTCCGGCACCCTTAGCATCTGGGTGATCCTTTGACACCCACAGGCCAAATACTAACCAAATCTGTGTAGTGAGAAGTTCAGCCCCAACAATTTAATAAGTATTTGCCCCACTCAGCTCCCGCTGGGCACATGGGACACCCACCACCCTCACTTTCTGTTCCACATTGATTTTAGCATGATACTTGCTTTTACAGCATAGTAACCTCCAAAAACCCCACCCAGCAAAGGTACACATCGTGTACAGTGCAGCGCTATCTTCTGAAGAACTCCATCACCTCAAACTTGTAGGTTGAGTAATGTCCAACAGAGGTCGCTGTTTCTCACAAAAGTACAAATTCCTCCCTCCCCCGACCCGGGGGCACCCTTTGAGTTCTCTGGGGTGCCCAGTCTTACTGTGTTTTCAGTTCAAGGGCTGCCTGTCCTAGGACTGTTTCCATTGCAACCACTGTCCCCACTGCGTGGAAGGAAGGCTTCCTGTCAAGTGAACCTCAGACACTTGGGGGTGAAAGGGAGCCAGGGGTAGCTGGTAGAACCTTCTGTTAGGAGTGAGAACTAAGGAACCTCATCTTTCATCTCCACCACTTGTGGCTCTGGCACCTTTGCAGCAGAAGACCTCACAAGCTTCTGGAAATTCCCTGGTCACCGTGGACATCATTTCCCTGGGGGTGTGCACTGGGGAGTGGAGATGCAGACCCTGCACTGCTTCTCTGTGTACTGAATCTGCGCTTGCACTTCTGGTGGCACAAGGGTGGGGTCCCTTGCCCCTCACTTCCATCCTGGGACAACTGCCTCCATTCACCCACCTTGTTGCTCCCCTAGCTAGACCCCCAGATCTGGAAACTGCTCCCTGAGGACTGTGGAGTTATGGTGACCACATTGTGCTCACGATTTCCTGTGCGTTTTTGCCAGCCTCTTCCTTACCACTGTTCTTGGAGGGGGAGAGGAGAGTTGGTCACCTCTTCCTTCATGGCAGGCCTGGCTTTGTGGTGGCTCCATCGAAATTCTCCCCTGCTCTCGGGTGGGGCACCTCTACCCAAGACAGGATACCCGTGCACCCCTGGACCAGGAGGCCACCCTGCAGAACAAGGTCCGCATTGCTGAGACATGGCTGGGATCCTTCAAAGAAACCTTTTACAGGCACAGCCCAGAGGCCTTTGCCCTCAGAAAGGTAAGGAGAAGGCCAGCGGGGGTTTCTGTGCCCAGCCTAGGGCCGCCAGCTGGGGGCTGGGCCAGGTGGGCCCCCTCTCCCCTGCTTCTAGGGGAAAATGGAGTTTCTGGTTTGAGTTTCCCCCAGTTGTCCCCTTTCCAGTGGCTCCTCTACCTGGTAGGACTGTCCTCTGATGCTTCCAGCATTTCCATGGGATATCAAACTTGACCTAGGCCTCACTGATGTCTTGACTTTGATGGAATGCAATCATTCACTCCAGGCCAATAAACAGCTTGAACACAGATAAGCGATGAGACACATCTCTGAGGTCCTTTCTTCCTGAGCAGTGCTCAAGGCTAGGGAATATCCAATAAAAGTATGGGAATAAATAGAGTCCAAAAAAGCCACAGAAAAAATAAAATTTTAAACATTTAATTAAATATCCACAGTGCATTATGAATCAATCATTTGTTATGAGTGACACATAAAATGTTACTTAATGTGAGCTTCAAGTTCTCATTAATATTTGCTGGGCTGAGAGTGGGGGCTCCAAAGGTAAGATTCCCAGGACCCCATGTCCCTTTGCCAGCCCACAGGGGCATGCACTGGATGTGAGGTTCACCTGCCATTGATGAAGGGGGTTCTTAAATGGAGAGGCAGCCAGACCCACTGAGTGCAGGGAGGGTCTGATAGAGTGCTCCATGGAGGAGCTCTGGTGCCTCCCCTTCCTCCCTGGTCCTCAGAGTTTTGCTCCTATCTATCCTAGTCCACCTCCTTCCCTACAGCAGAACAGCCTCCAGGGCCTGGGGCATTGGGGCTCCTTAACTTCAAGGTTGTTTGTTTCTTTAACTGGGGAAACTGTTAATGACACACAGAATCTTGATTCAATCCCAATGTCTAGACAGGCTAGAGTCCCTTCTGATCCCCATGAGTTGTCACATTATTGCCTAAAGTGGCACGGGGCTCCTTTCCCCCAGCAGAGTGATGGCAGCCTCTGTAGTTACTCCAGGAACGGATCTGAGATGAAGGGGAGGTTCTCACAAGGACTCCACTGTATCAGCTTTCATCTTCGTTCTCCAGTCTCCTTCTTCTTCTCTGTCTGTGGGAAGTAGAAGGGTGTGTTCAAGTTTTGACACTATTCCAGCCGTCTAATGGTTACACCCATGGACTGAGAGGATGATTGTCTGTATTTGAATATTGGCTTTTTAGTTGTATGATCCTGAAAGTTCCTTATTCACTCAGTGTTCCTGCTTGCTCCCTTAAGCCTTCCCTATGTCGTTCGGATGATTTAATAAGTTAATAGATCTAAAACACTTAGAAGTCAAGGCAGGGTAAACCCCGAGTGGGTGTTTACAATAAGCATTATCCTAATGACTACTAGTAATCAACAAAAGTCAGCAGAGCACTGCCCTGCACCAGGCTCTGGACAGGTCCTGCAGGGGATACCAAACCATGCCCAATTCTTTCAGGTTCCTGGTGGGGATAGGAGCTCCCCTCAGAGGGACAATGTCCACAAAGATGAGTGACAGATTCTAGACAGGCCCAGATGGACTCTTCAGGGGAGTGGTGTTGAACTGTGGTTGGATGGGTTCAACTCTGACAACCAGAGGAGGAGTTAGGGGAAGAGTCTGGTCCCTGAGGGTCGGGCTAAAGAGTGTAGACTCTACCCAGTTGGCAATGGGAGGCAGGTGGAGTCCTACAGAGTTCTACAGAGGTCCACAAAACTGCTCTGGCTTTTAATCTCTTGGCCTTCTTTTGGCAGAAGCATCTTTTTCTCTCAGGGAATGTCACTCTAGTGGACACTTGGTTCATGTTAATACAGACTGAAGTGTTAAATAGAGCCATGTTTCTGAACCACTGGACAGCTTTCTACCGATAGGCTCTCTAGAATAGGGTATCAACTGTAGCCTGCCCAATGCAATAGGGTGCCAGTGATTTACAGACCTCCCTCCTTCTCCCCACCATTGCTAGTGCAATTAGAAGCACCTGTGAATGTGTACGTGGCTCCAGGTAGTTAGAGAAACTGGAAACTGGCATGATTTTAGTATTTCCTTAGCGCCTGACTGGTCTGCTTTTGAAAAAACTCAGTTTGTTTATCTAGTTGGTAATTGGGAGATTTGGGTTTTTTTTTTTTTTTTTTGGGCAGTACTGGGGTTTGAACTCAGGGCCTCCTACTTGCCAGGCAGGTGCTCTACCACTTGAGTCACATCTCCAGCCCTATTTTTTCCCCCTTTTGGTTATTTTTCAAGTAGGATCTTGAACTTTTGTCTGGGGATAGCCTGGACTTCATCCTCCTACCTGTGGCCTCCTGCTTAGTTGGAATCCCAGATGTGCACACCTGGCCCAGATTATTGATTAAAATGAGGTCTTGAGAACTTTTTGTCTGGGCTAGCCTTGAACTGCCATACCCCCACCCTTCACCTCATGAGCAGCTGGGATCATAGGCGTGAACCACCACATCTGATTGAAGTTTTGGGTTTTTTTTAGTACTTGTTTGTGTTCGGTCAAATCCTTCATCCTATAACATAGAAAGCTGAGTCCCCATTGGGGAAGTAAGTTGCTAAAGAAAAGCAGGGAGCGAGGCAGAGAACTAGAAGTAACATTAGGGCTGGGGTGTGGCTCCTATCTAGCAAGCATGGGCCCTGAGTTCAAATCCCCACACCACCAGGAAAGAACAGTTAGAAGTAGAACTAACCCAAACTTACAGTAGTTTGTTTTCTGCCTCCCACTCCCTAATCCTCAAACCTGACCACCACTCCCTTCTGGGACTAGCTGGAGTTCTTTGAAGCATCTTCCTGTAGTTCTATCTGAATTTGCAGGAGCAGGAATGTATTTGGTATACAGAAGATGCTCATAAATGTTTCACAGACTCGCAAGCTCAGCAAAGGCAGGGGCAGTATTCATTCTGCTTACTGTGGGAATCTCCAATGCTCAGTTCAATCCCAGGTGTGTACTAGGAGCTCCGTAAATATTCATTGATGGAACGAATGGATCATGCAAAGATGGTCAAACTGAAGCCAAGATTTGGCTCTCGCCTTTTAGAAGCCAGTGACCCTGGGAAGTCATCTTCAAAAACCATTGTGAAAATTTAGTGAAAAGAAATGTAAACCAGAGGACCAGCTAGACACTAAGCTTCCTTTCATAAAGCCTCGGGTCCTTATTCGTTTCTTCTTTTATTACTTGGGCATCTTCTTTCTGATGAGGGACACTGATGAAGAAGGAGGAAAATGTTCTGATGGTTGATTGATGACTTTTGCAAGGAGAATGGGATTCATTCAGAAGACATTCAGCAGAGGAGTCTCTCTCTCTCTTTCTCTCTCTCTCTTTCTCTCTGTCTCTCTCTCCCTCCCCTCCCCCTTTTCTTTCCTATTTTATTTATTTTATTATTTTAAGGTTTTGGTCATATTAATTCCTCCTTAGAGCCTTTCTCTTCCCTAAAAATAGGATTTAGTTCTAAATTTCTGGAGGGGGGTCTTTATATCTTATCAATATAGCCCAAAACATTAAATTATACTAATATTAAGGATTTGCCTTGATGTCCAACTGAATCCAATTGTATAATAAAAGAGAATCAAAGGAGAGGAGACAGTGTCACCCAAGTGAATAATCACTTGGAAGGGGGTGACATCACTTATCTTGCTGGTTCCACAGCTCTCTCTAGAGCTATCCCTTCCAAATCCTCTTCTCCCAACATGTGCCCCTCCCCACTGTCTGCAGCCCTGAGACCTGTGATCTTGAGCTCCTTGCTCTGTTCCAATCCTTCATCCCTCTATTCCTCCCCTACTATGTGAATTCTGGTGTAAAATAAGCTTTCCTCGTCTTGTTGCTGGTGTCTTTCTCCCCCAGGCTGTGAAGCCAGACTGCACAGAACGCTTGCAGCTGCAAAGGAGGCTGGGTTGTCGGACATTCCACTGGTTTCTGGCCAACATCTACCCTGAGCTGTACCCATCTGAGCAGAGGCCCAGATTCTCTGGAAAGGCAAGGCATGGCCCAGAGGAGATGGGTAGGATGAAAGGGAGAGAGTAGCTTGCCAAGAGAAGAATTGCATGTTCAAAAGCTCTTCCATTATCCAGGACATGTGCTCAGCAGGACCTCGGAGGCCTTCAGTCCAACCCCTGCCTCCCTGCCACCTTGAGGGATGTGGCTAGGTTGTCCTATAACCCATCCCAGATCCCCTCATCAGGACAAGTGTCACCTGCCTCCTTCCAGAGGCTTGTCCAATAGGATCAGTGGTTTCGGTTTGACTCCACTCATTGTGGCCTGAAGAATGCACCTTGAGCTGCAGTTCAGAGAGTGAAGAAGAGGGATGGAGCCCAGCCAAGGGGAGTCTTCACAGTGGAACTTGGGGTTCACTTCTGTGTGGGTGTCCACTTTCAGCTCCACAACACTGGGCTTGGCTTCTGTGCAGACTGCCAGGTAGAAGGGGACTCCCTGGGCTGCCCTGTGAGACTGGCTCCTTGCAGGGACAGCCGAGAGCAACAGGTAGGTGATTAGACTTTCCAGGATGGAAAATACCCCACAAACATTTGCACTCAGGTGCTGTTTTTCTGGGATGCACTTCAGTTCCTTTGGCTTGGGTTGAAACAGAGCAGAGACCAGGGCAATAAGCCAGGGGAAGGATCTAGATGCAGGGGGTCATTCTAGCATCCAAGGAGGACTCTGGGCATTAGGAAGGTCACATGGAATATTGGGGTATATCTGTGTGTCTAATTCACATCAAAATTTCCATCATGAGAATAACTGCCTGAGACGGTAGAAGGCCTCCTTGGCTGCTTGTTGAGGGTTCATGGGTCCACTTTTTTTTCATAACTTGGATGATAACCTAGTAAGTATAACCTGTCTCCAATGTCTCTGCTCTCAGGGAACTTTGAGTCAAGCAATCATATCCCAAAGGCACCCAATAAATTCGAACAACAAAGTATAATTTATGGAGCTATGCATCGGATGAGTTTGGTGAGGCCTGGAGAGCCTGGGTGAGGGAGGGAACGTCTCCTGGAAGGTCTGGGGTCCAGCTCTGCAAAGAGGCCCTGCATGGAAGCCTTGCAGAGAGAGCCACCAAGGCTGGGCTTTGCAGTGCATGCCCTGGGTCTAAGGAAGGAGGGATTCAGGGTCCCGCTGACCTCTTCTGGTTCTGCCCTTTACCAATCTATAACATACTGATAGACATTCACATCTGGTACAGGGGATGAGGACATAAATTTAAAGTAGTTAGCAAAGAAGCCATAATATTTGGGTATATAGGGTAAAAATTATCCAAGCTTTCCTGTCACACATAGCTGGGTTTGAGTCCCAACTCCCCCCACTCGCTAGTTATGTGATCTCGTCAGGCTTTTTAACTTCTCTGAGTCTTTGTTTCTTCATCTGCAGTTGGGAATGATACAGTCTCCTTGTGCAGACACAATATTTGCCCTTTTTGTATGTTTATTCATTTTATTTTGTGGAAATTGGGAGAAATTAGCGAGGGCTGAAAGCCCTTCCTTAAAAACATGTAGACATGATATGCTGGATACAAACATGAAACACACAAGTCATTGAGTTTACAAGAAAGGAAAACCTCCAGGGACATTTAAGAGGCAACTGAAAATGGAGCCATCGGGCCCGGGCTGCAGGGGATGGGAATCCAGGAGTATTGGCTCCAGGCAGGGATAAGCATCGAGAACCCAGCTTCAGCCCATGAGACGTGAGAAGTTGGGAATGAGACTCCCATATAAAGTCAGCTTTGACCTTCAGCCTGTCCTTGCAAAAGTTTAATAAGAAATATCTATCCACTATCACAGGAAAATGGCAAGGAAGCTTGTCTGTCACTACAGGAGGTTTGAGTACAAAAAATATGACTCTTCCCTGAGAATGGTCCTTAAGCTTGTCCCTAATATGTGTTTAGGGTCCAAGTTTATGCTGTTTGGAAGCCTCAAGCAGAGCAGGCTACTTAATTTGCAGGGCCCTATGCAAAATAAAAATGTGGTATTTCTAACGCAACAATTATCAGATACAGATATAGATTTTTTTGGCAGTACTTGGGTTTGAACTCAGGGCTTCTCACTTGCTGGGCCATGCCACTTGAGCCACACCTCCACCCTAAACTAAGCATATTGAACCAAGAGCATTAATCCCATCTCGGCATGAGGCCCCACGTGACTGCACAGGTTTCATGCCCATGAAGCCAGTCCCATCTCCAAGCCACAAAATTAATATCAAAATTAATTCAGGCTGCATTTGGCAGGAACAAACCAAAAATGATTTTCTCAGGACATGCCTTTGATTGATCTGCACAGGTTTCTCCTGGCTAAAGCCCCTCTACAAAGTTATGCACAGTCCAATACTACAAAACCCTGGAGCAGGGCCACAAATAGCAGGAAAGTTAGTTTCAGGGGCAAGTGACCTCAGATCTTTCCGGAAGGAGATCAGCTTGGGCCTCAGAGAGCTTCCTAAGCTGCCTTCCTACAGTGCACTCACAGAACATGGCATTCTTCATAGCTTTACCTCTGCTACAGTCAATAGAACAACAGAGAAACATGCCAGAATGTATAAATAGGAACATGAGGACCAGTGTCTCTGCATGTTTACGAACTTGACCATGAGATACGGCCTTGCTGACCCCTGCAGAATGTAAAGTTGGTCCCTAGACCTCAGCTCTATGGTAAGTCCTTGCCTCATCTCCACTCTGGACAGGGTCTCTTTCTAGCTGTGCTAACTACTGTCCCCTCTGTCCTAGCACTTGGAACTCACCAGCAGGAAGGAGATCCACTTTGGCAGCTCGCAGCACCTGTGCTTTGATGTCCAGAGAGAGCAGGTAATCCTTCAGAACTGCACCGAGCAAGGTCCTGCCATCCATCAGCAGCTCTGGGACTTCCAGGACGTGAGTAATCCTTTCTGGAAGGCTCAACAGAACTCAAGGGCGGTACCCAGGCTCTTCCAAGAGGTCAGGTATTAACAAAGGTCTGAGACTTTGTAGTTAGACTTAGTTCATGGCATTAAAGCCTCAGAGCGAGGGAAAAGCAACCCAGCAGAGAGGTGGGCCACCGCATCAGGAAATGTACTTTGCCCCATCTTGGGATAGCTCTGGCCTTGATCATGGTAGAGAGAGCGATTGGCCCCTTTTTATTAGCTCGGGTCATAAGTAGATGGTGGAGCATGTTACAGAAGCAATCAACCAATGTGCTGGTGTGGTCTTAGGAGCAATGCAAGTCCTTCTCTCCAGCAAAAAAAATAAATAAATATATGATGATGTATAGATATATTGATGGTACCTTCTTCCTTTTAATGCAAATTCATCATTTTTGTAAAATTTTGACGCCTACATCCCTGGGGCAATGAATTTCTAGATCTTCCCAGAGGTTATGTATCAACAGAGAGGAAATAGGGGGTAAGTAAGTACTTAGGAGAGGCAGCAGGTTCCCAGATACAGGATTGGGAAACCGTATTCACAAGTGTGGATGCACAGCCTTTTCTTCTCCTCATATCCTTTCTGAATTGAATTAGGTTTTCATTTTACAAATACACACAGTTTTAAAATGTCTTTTCTTTTAACTTCTGCTTGGGAATAAAGAAGATAAAATAACTGAGTGGAACTCTGCACAGGTACTGGAGTACTGGGGTTGGAACTCAGGGCTTTGTTCTGACTAGGCAAGTGCTCTGCCACTTGAGCCACACTCGGGTCCTGCACTGGTATTCTTAAAGCAAGTGGTGGGGAAAGAAAATAACACTGTGGGAAACTTCACCTGAATTCAAAATAAGCTCCTGAGAACAAAACTCTTTGAGGCTTTGGTGACAAGGAGGTCACACTCACTCAGAGAAGTCTTAGAAATCAAGTTAAGATCTCTATGGAGGATCTAAGAGATCACTGTATGCAAGTCCTATGAATAAGATACATTTTAGAAATAGCACTTGAAAACAAATAAAAGATTAGGAAGATATACTCAAAATAGTTCAGGCATTAAGAAATGAGAATTTAGGAGTAGGGACATGGCTCAGGTGATACAGCACCTGTCCAGCAAGTGAGAGTCCCTGAGTTCAAACCCCAGTACCAAAAAAAATGACAAAAATGCCCCAAAAAATAAAAGAGAGAGAATTTTAAAAGACATCATCATTCAACCAGAAAAACGAATGAGGCACTGTTCATAGTGGCACTACTTATAATGGCTGAAAGCTATTATGAATTATTATATTAAATATTATATTTATGAGCGCTGACAGCAACCCAAATGTCCATCTATGAATGAATAGATAAAATGTGGGCACACGTTTATTCTAAAAGTGTATTACTTAGTTGCGGACTAATTACCTCCTAGAAATAATTCCATATAATAGAATATTATTCACTCTTAAAAATGTAGGAAATCCTGTCACATGGGTGAACCTTGAAGATATTAGGCTAGGAGAAATAAGCCAGTCACATACAAAAAAGTCAAAAACCTTACATTTCCATATGAGGTAGCTTAAGTCACCAAACACAGAAACAGGAAGTAGAATGGTGGTTACCATTCTCAGGGGAGGCTCAGGGGAGGAAGAAACATGAAATTGTTATTTAGTGGGTCTACTGTTTCAGTTTTGCACAATGGAAAAGTTCTAGAAATCTGTTTTACAATGATGTGAATATATTTAAAATTATTAAAGTTTATACTTAAAAATGGTTAAGGTGGGCCAGGTGCTCATGGCTCATGCCTGTAATCCTAGTAACTTGAGAGTCTGAAATCAGGAGAATCGCCAATATTTTGCAACATCTCATCTCCAAAATAACCAGAGCAAGATGGACTGGAGATGTTGCTTAAGTGGTAGAGTCTGCTTTGCAACTGTGAAGCACTGAGTTCAAACCCTAGTCCCAAAATAAGCAGAACTAGAGATGCGGCTCAGGTGGTAGAGCACCTGCTTTGCAAGCATGAAGCCCTGAGTTCAAACCCCAGTCCCACCAAAAAACAATAATTAAGGAGGTAGATTTTCTCGTATTTTTTACCACAGTAGAAAAAAGGAAATTAAGTACTAATTTATGCTACAACATATATCAATCTTAAAACTATTATGCAAAATAAAGAAATCAGTTACAAAGGGCCACATAGTTCATAATTCTCCTTATGAGAAGTATCCAGAATAGGCAAATCCATAAACACAGAAAGTAGAAGAGGGAGGAGTGGGCAGTGACTGCTAATGTGTTTCTTTGAGAAGTGATGAAAATATTCTGGAATTAGATGGGGTGATATATATTTTTAGTATATTCACAACTTTGTGAATATACTAAAAATCACTAGTTTGTGTCCTTTAAAGGGGCTATATAAAGTAGGTGTTTTCAGCATTGATGGCTAAGGTTGCTTAACTTCAGAAAGAAAATCAAAATTGTCTTCCAAAGGGAATATTAGCTTCAACATTAAATCTTGTGGGTTTTGAGCAGGAGGCAGCCATAGACGGCTGAATATGGCTGATGTAGGTCTTACTCTCTACTGCATCCTGCTGGCCACAATACTAAATTGCAAGATTGATGGCGGGAAAAGCTGATTAAAATCCTTCTGAAAGCAGACATTTATAGTACACTGATAACAGTGAATATCAGAAATACTATGAAGTCTGAACAGACACTATTCCCTGGAATTGTCCTAACCATAACTTTTTAAGAAAGAACATAATTACACAACTACAATAAAGAAAATTGGATTTCAAAAGCCTCCCAAGGCTTTGAATAACATCTAAATTTTAGGATCACCTAAATTATATTTTATATTAATCAGAAATACAGTCATTCTTTTCCAGGCCGGTTCATGCTGCCTCTATTAGTCTCTCTCTCTCTCTCTCTCTCTCTCTCTCTCTCTCTCTCTCTCTTTCTCTCTCTCTCTTGGCAGTACTGGGGTTTGAATTCAGGGCCTTATGCTTGCTAGACAGGCCCTCTACCATTGAGCCACTCCACCAGCACTTTTTTTTTTTGCATTGATGTACCATATTTATTGTTTGGAAGTGAAAACACCAGCACTTTTTGATGATCGGTTTTTTCAAGATAGAATCTCGCAAATTATTTGCCTGGGTTGGTTTTGAGCTGCAATCCTCCTGATCTCCACCCTCCTTGAGTAGTAAGGATTACAGGTGTGAGCCACCAACACCTGGCTTATTAGTCTCTTAATGATCAACACGAGTCTTAAAAATGTCCTTCTTTGCTGACTGTGTGGGGAACTGGTTTTCTTTTCTCTTTTCAGAATGGAGTCATTGTCCATATTCTTTCTGGGAAATGCTTGGAAGCTGTGGTTCAGCAAGACAGTAAGGATTTGTATTTGTGTCCATGTGATGGAAAAGCCAGCCAGTTGTGGCGATTTGACCAAGTTCACACTGTGGATGAACGATGAATGCCAGTGGCAGAAAGGAAATGAGAATTTTGGTCAGCCCCGTTCTGCCCCGAGAGAACTAGAAGAGCATGTTGTGTATCAGACACCATGTCTGTGCGCCTGGTATAGGAGAGAAGAAGCTCCATGGAAGAATACAGAGAATCCCTACTTCTTACAGTGTCTTTGAGTGACTGCTGGTTTTTTTTTAAGGAAAAATAATGGACTCATTGCCTTTATCATGAGAGTTGACCATCATGTAGCACAGAAGATTCTTCATTTTATCTGTTGAGCACTTAATAATTGCTTTTGTCTCTGATTAGGGAAAGAGGCCTGGACATTGTCTGGTGGCACCACCAGGACACATCAATCCAATGGATCAGTTTCCTTTTCTTTACATAGCCTTAACTTGAATTGTCTATGTGTCCAACCCTGAAAATGAAACAGTGAAGAGGGTATAATGGGGCTGACAGTGTAAAAATCTTGAATTAGGTCTGCAAGCACAAATTTCATGTTCATTGGTCTCAATCCTAGTTCAGGAGGAAGGGAAGGTACAGAAAGGAGCAGGTTAGAGTTGGAGGGAAGCTAGAAGAGAGTGTTGGCCTAACTCTCCAACTAGCCTAGCCCACCAAAAAGACAGCAGAGCTGGGTAAGATGCTCATCTTAAGGAGAATTTCTTCAGAATTGTCTACCTCCATTCACTGGCCCCAGCTCTGGTCTAGCTTAATTAAATCTTAAGCAGATTCCCTTGCAATAGATTTCTTGTTAGTCCTTGGTTTTGTGAGGATCACTGTAGACTGAATGTTCTTATTTATGAAGGTGTTTATACTTGATAAACTCTCTTGATGCTCTGTTATGTCAGTTGGCACTGACTTGACAAGAAATAACCTGTGCAAAGGGCAAAGCTCCCTGGAAGAGAGATGCCAGAGTCTAAGCCAAATGTCTTTTTTTTTTTTTTTATGGTTATCATTAGCTTATCTTTATTTTTTTATTTTTTTTTTCATTTTTCTTTTATTATTCATATGTGCATACAAGGCTTGGTTCATTTCTCCCCCCTGCCCCCACCCCCTCCCTTACCACCCACTCCACCCCCTCCCGCTCCCCCCCTCAATACCCAGCAGAAACTATTTTGCCCTTATCTCTAATTTTGTTGTAGAGAGAGTATAAGCAATAATAGGAAGGAACAAGGGGTTTTGCTGGTTGAGATAAGGATAGCTATACAGGGCATTGACTCACATTGATTTCCTGTGCGTGGGTGTTACCTTCTAGGTTAATTCTTTTTGATCTAACCTTTTCTCTAGTTCCTGGTCCCCTTTTCCTATTGGCCTCAGTTGCTTTAAGGTATCTGCTTTAGTTTCTCTGCATTAAGGGCAACAAATGCTAGCTAGTTTTTTAGGTGTCTTACCTATCCTCACCCCTCCCTTGTGTGCTCTCGCTTTTATCATGTGCTCATAGTCCAATCCCCTTGTTGTGTTTGCCCTTGATCTGATGTCCACATATGAGGGAGAACATACGATTTTTGGTCTTTTGAGCCAGGCTAACCTCACTCAGAATGATGTTCTCCAATTCCATCCATTTACCAGCGAATGATAACATTTCGTTCTTCTTCATGGCTGCATAAAATTCCATTGTGTATAGATACCACATTTTCTTAATCCATTCGTCAGTGCTGGGGCATCTTGTAAGCCAAATGTCTTATGAGAGAAAACAGAGTTGGGTGTTAATGACCGTGAGCTCTGATGAGGCCATCTTTGAGCCCATAGTGACTGGGATCCCTAAAAGTGGCTGCACGTTGAATGCTCAATCCAACTAGAGCAGATCCATGGCTAACAAGAACTGAATGGCTCTCCTTGCTGTGCCCTGGCAGACCTAGTTCTGCCAAAAGAGTTGCTGAGCAGGTTGGTTCTGCTATTGAGAAAACACCGTTCATGCCCATTTGTCTCCTGGAGGGAGTCGCTGTCCACATGGCAAACTTAGAAACCTCTGCCTAAAGATGTGGCTCTCCTTTGGACTGACTTAGAAGACAGTGTGTTTCAAATAAGAAAAACTAGGTAGGAAGTGTGAGATTCCAAATAGCTATCATAATTATGTCTTCATTCTGTACCTGTCAAGTCAACAGGCCACTGCATTTCTCTAGCCTTAGAATATACCTTAGATCTGTGCTACCTAATATGGTACCCTCTAACCGAATGTGGCCATTTTAGTGGATATTCATTAAAATTAGAGAAAATGTAGAACAGCTCCTCAACAGTACTGGCCACATTTCAAGAGCTAGAGTTCTATGTGTCTAATGGCTACTGCATCAGAGAGTATAGATACAGAACATTCCATCACAGAAACAGTTCTGTTGGAGAACCTTAGTCAGTCATCACTCTATCTAGAGAAATTTTAACTACTGTCTTATTGCTTCAGACCTGCCCATATTTAAGCAAATTTCCTTAATGTCCTGAGAGGGAGCTAAAAATTCTCAGACGACAACCATCTAAAGGGTATTCATGGTTGAAGAATAAAAATTAAACAAGACCTTTATTTTTAAATGAACTTTATTATCAGCATTGTGGGTACTTGAAGTTGCTGGGATAAATTAATATAATTAAATTCAACGTGAATTCAATTGTGTAAGTTGTATTTGGTGGGAATTAAAAAGGGACCCAGATGGCTTATTGCTTAATTGGTTGAACAAAGCAAGAATGTGGCACTTCCTTAACCATCCTGTGATTTATTACTTTATTACAGAAATGGCTGTCAGCTCAATCCCTGCCTGGTACTTACAGACCCTTAATTTTAACAAAACAGATGCCTCCACTTATTTTAAAAGACCGTCCTCCTAACAGTGCAACCAGTGTTCAAGTTCCCTTCTCCCTGGGCTCAACATGCATTAATCCACAATGATTTAAAAGTAGAGAAACTCAACAGTCAAGAGATGTGACTCCTGAATTGATTTCACTTGTCTGCCTGATTTTTATGATCAGCCTTGTTTGTTTCTTAAGATTGAATTTTGTCATTACTCTCACTAAGTCGACATTACTATTATGGGGTGTAGGCGGTAGAAGTGTTCAGCTAGCAGTCCCATACTCATGGTTGTGTTTTGTTTGTTTGTTTGAGACAGGGTCTCATTATGTAGCCTGGGCTGGCCTTGAACTCATGGTCCTCTTGCCTCTGCTTCCCAAGTGCTAGGATTATAGCTATACACCACCATGCCCAGCTCCATACCCCTTGTGCTATTTTGCAATAGTAAGAGCAAATGTCATCCCTGGAGGGGCCCTGATCCATTTCTTCTTTTGCTTCAGTGCCATAGATTCAAATGGCAAATTCAGGATTCCAACCCCTACAGACATCAAAAAGACTCCCAGGTCCTTCATGATGATGCTGTCACTCTACCAGAATCTGACATTTTAGAGGTTGTGTTATTATACCCAACTTGAGGGAGTTCCATTTTCAACTGACAGGTCATGAAAAAGTCAGCTGGATACCAAGTGATCTGTGATCAGACACCAAATCTGGACAAACAAAATGCAAACAAGTTGCATTTTTTAAAAAAGAAAGAACATTGAAAGAATAAGGATAAATAGCTTACATCATATTAGAGTTTTGCAAAACACTGGCATGAGCTTTCTTGCAGGGCACAGCTCCACTTTTTTATGTGCACTGTTTATGGATGTTATTTAAAATCTCTTTTAAAAGTGCTTTGGCTAAAGCCTAGGGCACCTACAAATCCTGCCCTGATTATTCAGACACCTTGACTTAGGCATATTTCAAATGATGTGTTAAGCACAAGAACCAAGGAGGTGCTTTTTTAGGGTTCTGCTAGCCCTGTTCTATTCCTGTATTGATAGTCATCCCTTCAATCTTCTTTCCAGTTTCCACTCTTCCCTTTGGCTATGGAGGTGTGTTCTTAACATTGTTTTCCTATTGTGAGGATCTTTGCTGGAGTGGGAGTTTTTTTCCCATAGGTATGTGGGATGTTTTTATTTTCTCATCACCAAAGTCTCTACAGACTATCAATACACTATCATAACATATAAAAACTTGCCTATTTTGGCTTAAAAGCAGAATCATCAAACCACTTCACCCATAGGGCAGTGGTTTGCAAGTTTAGCCCAAATAGATGGGATTCGTGTTTGAAGATTGAAGTTTCCTCAAAAACTCCCAAACAATTCAGCGAAGTCATAGTCAACCCACGATGGATACCAAAATGGCAGAATCTTCTCTCTCAGGAACAAGATAGGACCAACTATGCCACAGTTTATAAAAGGCTCTTAACTTTTCAGTAAAGTGTGGCCTTTTATTCAGAGACCACCATGAAGGCACAGCTGATCGTTCTCCTTCAGGCACAGGCCAAGGGAGACACTGCTTAGGGTTTTATTTCAGTAAGATCCAGGAGAGCCTGAGAAGCTATCTTTAAAGTCAAGACCTTCCCAGATGTACCAGCACTGATGATATGGGGGGTGGGCAGCCAGTAGGATGATCCATCCAGCACACAAAGGGGAGTTGCCTTGTTCCCATTGCAGGATCCCACCCCCTCCTCCTGGTTAATGGACTACAGGGAGAACATTTGATCCAAGTTGGACCAATCAGCACATTCCTCAGTAATTTTGTTACTAAGATGAGTTTCTCTATAAGTGACTTAAGAGGAACTATAACGAGACCTCGCAAGCTTTATTTTCTGCATATGGCCCTAAGAAGTACCTAAATCCAGGCTGGAGAGAGAATTGGAAAGGGAAGATGGGTTGGGATCAAATCCACAAATAGGAGCAGAGAGGCAAGAGATAGAACATCCTGAATGTATTCACGTGGCTGGCTCCAGTTGCTCCCCACCCCATGACTTGCTAGCTCCTTGCCCTCAGAGTCCATGAGAAGCCCCCTTTGTTTTTGTTTAATCCAGTGGTCACAAAAAACCTCAGGATTGTGTTGAACTGCACATTGTGATTCAAGCCGTCTGTGCTGGGACCTGATCTTCTAACTGCCTGTAAGTTCCCAGGTACTCCTCATGCAGCAGGTGTGACAACCATTGTCAGAGCGGCAAACGTTGAAACTTTCTCAGTAGCTTTTCAATTGTTATTTGAGTCTTAGCGACTCCTCACTGAACAAGTACTTTTGACTATTCTCCTTTCTTTCTCATAGGTCTCTTTTTGAACCCACAAGCAGGATCTTTCCGTCCTATGCTGAGTACAATGCGTCTTGTTCGATGTAGTAACCGTTGCTGTCAACTAATCTCCTCTCTTCTCTCAGCAGTCTTCCTCGCTCTGAATACCAGTTCTGCTCTGGACCATGCAAGCTCTTTACTTTTTGGTGTTTTTGCTGTTTGTCTACGATTATGTTATGCTCCCCTCATTTTCCTTATCTTGCCTTCAACATCTCATCTTTGTTCAAAGCAGCTTTTCTAGGACCATGGAAATGTGTCAGCTTTTACCTTACTTTCACTTTTCCTCCTCTGGGACCTCTATAACCTTCCATCACCAATGGTGTCAGTTTTTCCAAACAAATTTTTTGAAGCACTGAGCAAATAAATTAATAGCTTATCAGAGCCCGTTAACTCAGTTATTACCCCCAAAATGCCATTTAGCATGGATGTAGAATGATCAGGCTACTGGAAGTGCTGCTAGGGTTGTGGGAATATACCCCCCGTCTTGCAGAGGCAGATGGGGCTCTGGCAGACAGATGGCTTCATATAGAGGATCTGCATAGAAGCAGCTGAAGGGGAATCCCTGGGGATGGGCCAAGACCATGGCCTCTAAAAATAGTTGCATCTGATAGCCAAATGTGAAATTAAATGATTAAAAACAAATCCTGCTAAAGCTCAAAATTTGGTTCTCTCAATCCTTAAGTCTTGTGATGAAGTTAAAGCATGCATAACTAAGAAGGAATATCAAATTCATCCTCCAATTCCAAAGACTATAGTAGTGACATAGAGTGTCATGGTCCCCTCC